GTCTTCAGTTCTTTAATTGAAATGTGCATTGCTAACAGCGGAGCTATCTCAGCCGATAGGCTGCTTGTTATACTGTGTATTCATTTGTTTGAAAACCATTTTAATCTATCCAGGTATTAAATCAGCACTTTGTCTTTAATGTAACTCAAGCCTTCCCATCCTAGGTCCCCCAACACTGCAGGTTCTGTCACATTTCTATTTACTTTTAATGAAAATTTCCAAAATTTGTACTGAATACTTCAACCTCTCTACTTTCCTGAAACCATATTTCACACCAATAATTAATTGATTATACTATGCCATAGTATACATCACCATATCATATTATACAGCATATTTTACATCACTACCGGTATACTCAAATCTATTAAAAGTGTTTGTTGGTTAATTATTGATAAGAGTAGACCATCATTCCTTTTTTATTAACTTCAGTAAATTATGTATGATTATTTGATATGGTTATGCCTAATTATTTGTATTTCTACTTTATTTTAATGTAAAGTTTCCTAGTTTCCAAACTGTGTCCTTTTTGTGCAGATTTTTTGCCAAAATTCATTATCTATCATTTGGATTGGCTATAACTAAGTGTAAACTGAGAACAGACTTCTCAAGGTAGAGTGAACCAAATGAGTATTGGTCACCAAATCGGAAGGAGGATAACGCACTGGAGAGGAGCACTTGTAGCCAATGTGTTTATTGCTCAACTGCTAGGCCTGGAACTGAGTCTAAATATATTCCATACAATGTATCAATATCGTTATGCAAATAATGTAGCCTCAAATCATTACACTAAGTTTCTATTTACTGGCAAACTGAGCTGCTATGTCAAGCACACTTTAGCGTCATTAGCTATTAAAGATACATCATCTGCCCCAAAAAGCCCAGGAATTATTTGTTTTCCTACCCTCGCCCCTAGGTTTGATTCAGATAACATTTTTGCAAATTTATTTATATAAATTGAGAAGAGAAAGGGGCTATAAACACATCCTTTGTTTACACCTTCACTGGTTTTGAAGTATTCAATCTCAATATCATTAAAATTTACATTATTAAAAACATACATATGATTATGTTATCCCATAATTCTCCTCTTATTCCTGCTTTCCATGAGGATACTTGCAAACCATCTCTCCAAACTCTATCAAATGCTTTTGAGAAATTGAGGAAGGCTACATAAATCAACATTTAAGTGTAAACACATAATCCTCACATGTCCTATCTTCCCTTAAACCTTCAAGAATTTTATTTCCTTCAACAAATTTTTTTTACGTGTAACTTTTTGAAATTAGAGTGATACATCTGTAAGTTGTTCAGGTCTTTTGTATCATCCTTTTTGTGGATTGGTTTTAGAAAACCCTTTTTCCAGAAGGGACTTGAAAAGTAGTAGCATTAATATCTGGATTATTGCAACACCACCATTCTTAATAAATTCATTGACGATTTCATCAGAACCACAAGCTTTTTCAGATTTGGTCAAGAGTATTGCTTTTAGAACATCGTTCTGTGTCAGTCAAGGTTGCTGTGCAAATCCTATTATAAAAACACTGTAAAACGTTCAATGCAACATCCTTCAGTTCATTTTTCTTCTGTCTATTTTGGGATATGTATGAAAAATAAATGTGGCAATAAATATTATAATACTTCATTGGCGTTGTAGGATACTGTGTTACTGGTACATGTATGTGGCATCTCTCTGTTGGTGTCATGTCTAACTGATCCAATACTACTGCACATTTTATAACAATCTCAAAACTTATATGGAGTATGTTTGTTGCAGGTTTTCTAAACAGCTTGTACCAGATATCAAAACATATTATGTTACTCAAAATCTGCCAACGAAACGATCCAATTTTACCCGTGGTAAATACGTGAAAGAAGCCTTGGATTCGTTTTTAGCATCGGCCGATGAGTTTATATCAACGGCGCATGTAGCAGAAACATTCATGGATGCGAATGGATTGATTCAAGAATTGTCACATAAAGAGAGAATGGTAAAATATTTGTTGTCATGGCAACATATTTATTTTTGCAGTAAATTTGGTTTAATAATACATGTACATTTGCACTTATTGGTCATGTAACATAAAGCACTAGAATATATTTTGAATGATTTACCTCTCTGATGTAACACAAAAACAAATATAAGATTATCTGGATTATTATTTTTTTTTTTATTTAATTCATTCAAAACAATGTTGTTTACTGTGAATTCTAATGTGACCTATGTTTCCAGGATATTGTAGAAGATACAGAGTATATATGGGATAAGTTTTGTGATGCTACTGATTTGAAAATCCGCATGACACACGATGGTGAGTTGACATGATATACACCACATACATGTACATTAATACATTAATATTGACAACATAACCCATGCATTGATTCCTGAAGATCCAGGCTAGTTTTCACATTCAGTGCAAATTCATTCTAAGGCCATAGTAAACATATCATTACCTGTGTCAGGGTACTCACAACCATGTGACCAACTATATGCATAATTACTTTCAAACAAAAGTTCTTTCATTGAGTTACCATTGAAATAAATTAATTGTGTGTTTATTGATCCCGTTATCAGGTATTTCTTCTAAAGTATGAGTTCAACTGATCATTGGTAGCATAGTGGTTGTTGCTTCAGGTTCATGATCAGTTTACCAAAGTTCAAATCCCTCCTTCAATGGGAAGGCTAATGCCATTCAGTAATGAATGCAACTTTGGCAGAGCCTTAAGGAATCTTGCCATTTGATAGAGAGATGGTCGCACAGCCCTGTCATGTAGTCCCAAACATGACAAATATGACTTCTGTGGTAAAAATGCACTATGAGTCAGCACTGTCACTTGAAATTTGCACATGCAATACGTCAAGAGAGACAACAGTGACATTCAATGTCTGGAACTGTCGCCTAGCACAACAACATTTTTGAAAAATAAATAATTAAAAAAAAATTTGCAAAATGGGTTGCATGCAATGTACAATATAAAATACTTATTTATACTGTGTTATTTTAAACAACTGTATTTACATCTTATATTGACAGGTTATTTGAAGTTGTTTCAGTTGAGTAAACCAAACCTTGGTCAGTTTGATTGTATTTTGATTGATGAAGGTCAAGACTGTACCCCAGGTAAAGTAATCATCTTTAATATCTTTCCTTCCAATATTACGAACAAAAATTCTCCTAATGCAACAAATGAGACAAAGTTTCTACAACAAATGTGGTGCAAATGATTTAAGTAAGTATTGAGACCTGATTGACGGGACATATTAATAGTTGATAATAATTAAAATCATAAGTTTTAAAACTTATCTTTGTGTTTGTTATGATACATTTATTGAATCTGTGATAACCATTTATTAAAAGTTATGTAGCTTAAATTCATATTCTACATATCAATATTTTACGGTGTATATATTGGTGAGGAATATTTCCTCTATGACAATGTGGGAATGCATTATTTTATTGCAAATTCTTAAAGCGAGAGTCGTCACCTGCGCATGTGTCAGATGGCCATAGCGTGTCATTGTTTACAAACAAGTGTCTACCCATGAGCCATTGCGTTTTTAGCGTGTGTTGTTATAAACGCTTGGGGCTCAATTCTCGTGCATGCGCAGGTGACGACCCTCCCGCTTTAATTGAAGAATTTGTGTTCTGTAGCAGTCGATGTATGCTGTTAATCTAATCCATGTATGTTGTATTTCTTCACAGCTACTCAGAGTATATTGTTTAGTCAGGATTGTCCAAAGATACTTGTTGGTGATCCACATCAACAAATTTATTCTTTCAAAGGTGCCAGGAATGCAATGAGAGAGGCACCAGCGTCCTGTATATTCTACTTAACACAGGTGAGTATGAAAATACATCCTTAATTAAATCATTTGAAACTATTCCCAACTTTACACTAGTTCACATTCTAATGTTACAATTTTTGTGTGATAGATTGATGGATTAATATATTAAAATATATGTAATTATTTTCAGTCATTCCGATTTGGACCACAAATTGGTTACATTGCAGCATGTTTACTGGAGAACTTTAAAAAAGTGGACACTAAGACAATAGTTGGTAATGATAGTGAAGGTAGGTAGAAATAAAAAACAATGCTACACAAGGAGGCATGTTTGTTTTTATAAAATGATTACCCTGTGCTTCATTCAACTTCAAAGAATATGCTTTCATTGGCTTTTCAAAATATAGCTACCGTATACTCTGTTCAATATCACGTTCAGATGGTGTATACGGTGATAAGGTTGGCCAGGTTGCGGTCGTTACAAGATATAATTATACACTGTTCAATATCATGTGCAGATGATGTATACGATGATAAGGTTGGCCAGGTTGCGGTCGTTACAAAATATAACTATACTCTGTTCAATATCACGTTCAGATGGTGTATACGGTGATAAGGTTGGCCAGGTTGCCGTTGTTACAAAATATAACTATACTCTGTTCAATATCACGTTCAGATGGTGTATACGGTGATAAGGTTGGCCAGGTTGCGGTCGTTACAAAATATAACAATACTCTGTTCAATATCACGTTCAGATGGTGTATACGGTGATAAGGTTGGCCAGGTTGCCGTTGTTACAAAATATAACTATACTCTGTTCAATATCACATTCAGATGGTGTATACGGTGATAAGGTTGGCCAGGTTGCGGTTGTTACAAAATATAACTATACTCTGTTCAATATCACGTTCAGATGGTGTATACGGTGATAAGGTTGGCCAGGTTGCGGTTGTTACAAAATATAACTATACTCTGTTCAATATCACGTTCAGATGGTGTATACGGTGATAAGGTTGGCCAGGTTGCGGTCTTTACAAGATATAATTATACTCTGTTCAATATCACCTTCAGATGGTGTATACGATGATAAGGTTGGCCAGGTTGCAGTCGTTACAAGATATAATTAAACTCTGTTCAATATCACGTTCAGATGGTGTATACGGTGATAAGGTTGGCCAGGTTGCGGTCGTTACAAAATATAACTATACTCTGTTCAATATCACGTTCAGATGGTGTATACGGTGATAAGGTTGGCCAGGTTGCGGTCGTTACAAGATCTAATTATACTCTGTTCAATATCACGTGCAGATGGTGTATACGGTGATAAGGTTGGCCAGGTTGCGGTCGTTACAAGATATAATTATACTCTGTTCAATATCACGTGCAGATGGTGTATACGGTGATAAGGTTGGCCAGGTTGCGGTCGTTACAAAATATAACTATACTCTGTTCAATATCACGTGCAGATGGTGTATACGGTGATAAGGTTGGCCAGGTTGCGGTCGTTACAAGATATAATTATACTCTGTTCAATGAAGCAGTCGCTATTGCCTACAACAGTACTAACCATAGAATGGCCTTTGCTGGGGTATGTACAAGCAAATTATATAATGACATTTAAAATGAGAAATTTATTACTGGTCGAATACAATGTATTAACATTCATACCAAAATATAAATCCAGAATCATTTGTCCAAATATTCAGGCCATATTCATCACATACATGTACCTTTCAGTATTGGTTTAAAAACTACACAAAATGACTAGGTAGCAGTGGTGATAGGCATGACTTTTTATAGTATTATTCATTTTCTAAAAGGTATTTCTAGTCTCTGTTAAAATGAAGTCCGAAAATGATCTCTTATAGATTGACCATCCATGCATCTGCACTTTTATTTTGGACCACCAAACTTGATAAAGAGATTACAGAACCTTGATGCATGTCATTTTAGTTTTCAGATCAGATTAAAAATGGCCGACTGGTGGCTGTTTTGTTTTAATGAATGCTGTTCAAGACTTGACTGATTGCAATCAAACTTTTAAACTACATTCTACATCATGTAAAAATATTGATAATAATTTGTTTTTTAAGTTCTGATTTACTTGCATCATGGCATGAATTGTTTGTTTCACAGGGAATGAAATATTTAGAGGATTTACTAAGTAGCATTGAAGACATATACACACTTTTCGGAGGTTATAGTGGTATGTATACTTATTCTGACATCGCCTTTTAATTTGTTCCTAACAATTTAACTAATTACAATTTGTTCCTAACAATTTAACTAATTACAATTTGTTTCTAACAATTTAACTAATTACTCTTTCTAAATATAATAATAATTTCTTACTAGCCAAACCTCGTGAGATTAAGAACAAGTTCATCAAGAAGTTTAAGTTCTTCAGTAAATTAAAGGAGTATGCTACAAAAGTACAGGACCATGAATTATTGTATAAGATAAAGATTGTAGAATTACACCATATCAAAATTCCTGATCACTGTGAGAAGATAAGAAGTAAAGCTTCAAGCAATATGAAGCTGGCAGGTATAGATGTAGAATTAAACTGAGACATATTTGTACTCTAGTCTTGTCTTCCTACTATATACTGTAAAACATGTTGAAAAAGCGACATACTATTTTAGCGAATTGTGGTAAAATGACGTAATAGCGAAATGTTGATTTAGTGAATCTCTCTTGTCTCAGTTATCAGCTCCATGAAAACAATGCAAAATTGTCAAGTGTAATAAGGAAGCGCTCCAGATTATTACGTTTTCTGTGTTGTTTACAAAGTGTGTGTGGCGTAAAAGACGTTGTTTGACCGCAATTTTGAATGTATAATGAAGTCATTAGCAACATCTTAAATTAGCGAATTTGTTCTCTCGCAAAAAGGACATGTTTTACAGTATCTATTTGATTGTTTTCACATGCTTTGTCATAGTATAGAGGAATTCATGAAACTTTCATCCTTCATACTGTAAGAATTCTATTTTAGATTCTTCTCCTTGATCCACTTGTTATCATCATATTACTTTACTATCGTTTCAGTCATTCTTTGAACGATTATGTTTAACTAAATATTGCTACACTACAGCAAGTTATTATCAACATTGTCGGTAAATGTACAGCAATTGCTTCCAATGTTGTTGAAGTTGTTTTGCTACAATCAAGTTTGTTTTGATACATTCGTGACGCACCCAGACTTCAGACTTCAAGTCACCACTCCACTGTCTAATCACGCACTCGTTGACTGTGACTATCACATTCACAGCGCAGTAAACAGGGATTCCCGACTCCACCTGCAATTCGCGAAAAGATAGTTGAGCTGTATTTAGAAGGAATATATTTTGCTGACATAGCGAAAAGGGTTGGTGTGACGAAATCTACAGTGTATAATATAATAATAGTCCATAGCGGATCTAGCAACCGTGTGTGTTCAAGTGAAAGTCTAGTTTTATCCGCTTTGATATTTTACCGGCTTCAGTAGATAAGCCGGCAGTCGATCACACGTTTGGATTTCATTCTATTTCATCATAGGTGATGACCCATCTAGAATGAATAGTTTTGCCTTTATTATGACTCCTGGTGTAGTTGAACGAAGATTGTCGATGAACAACTGTTTGAATCAATGGTTTGTCGGTAAATCCAATTTCTGAATTTCTTCGTCCATAATTTGAACGCGAAGTGCGTTCATTCGCCGTAAAAATGGTGTCTAGTGAGGCGGTCGATAAAACTGTTGTAATCAAAGTCATCACTATGAAACTCAGCTTGTGATATATATATTGGTATAATTCTTGTATCCTGATAATAAACAAACTCTACTTTGATTAAGTATTCCGCCATGACTGTCGATCCGATCAGGTCCGAGTTGAAATGCGTTGTGGGTCCAATGACGGCGACTAGAAGTCTGGGTGCGTCGCAAATGTATCAAACAAACTTTATTGTAGCAAAACAACTTCAACAACATTGGAAGCAATTGCTGTACATTTACCGACAATGTTGATAACAACTTGCTGTAGTATAGCAATATTTAGTTAAACATAATCGTTCAAAGAATGACTGAAACGATAGTAATAGTCTAGTTCAGTAAGTTCTTTATGTGCTCTTCTAAAGTATCTATTACAACTCTCTTGTACCCTTCCTAATAAGTGGGTTTTGGGTCGCTGTTTAGTGAGCTGATTTGCACATAGTCACTTGAGAGCAGAAAATCCAAATATTTCACTCTGTTTATTGCTACATGTACATTAATAATAAATGTCTTTATGTGTTCACCAGATTTTATGGAAAATTCATAAACTTTCCAAGGTAACTTGGATACATATTATAGAGAATAAACATATTTTAATACAAAACTGTAGCTGATATAGAGAAATATTGCATCTACATCAATTCAACCCTCATTGTGCACATGTTTGCTAAGCAACCAGATAACCCAGAATTTATCTATTGGTTTGGCACCCACTGGTTTTCTCTTTTTTTCCCTGCTACAGACATTGTGCTAACTACTGCCCACAAGTCTAAAGGCTTAGAGTTTGATACTGTGAAACTAACTGATGACTATTTGATGTTGAATGATGGAGAGACATTCAGTAAGTGTTCTGAATATAATATTGTTACCTCACTGTTGTTCTGTGTTGTCAATACACCTACCCACAAAATAACACATATACAAAATGTATATTAATTATGATAGTACATCACAGAATCAGTAAAAAGTAAAAAGAAATTTAATCAGCCTTGCATGTTCTATGTGGGTTTGGTCGAAGGCACGATGACAACAAATGTGTGTCATGCAATGTTGCATCTTGACAGACTGCAGAAAACTTATTGATTAAAATAAGGGCATGCTCTATTCCTTGCAACATGTTGTTGATGGCATTTTGTCAACTTGTAAACATTGCAAAGATCAACCTTTGTTGTCAACAAAAGTTGCAACTTGTTGATCAGTGTATTTTATGGCATTAATTACCTGCATAGAATCTTTTGAGAATCTGGATACAAAGTTCAATCCAAACGCCACTGTGTTGTTTCTAAAAAACAAATGTGTGAGTTGTTGTGCAATTGTTTCTTCATACAACTTTTATGAACAGTTGTGTGTGTGTGATAACTTTGTTTTCTTTGTTATGCTCAATAGTTAATCTTCCTGAAGATGAACTGAATTTAATGTACGTTGCTGTGACCCGTGCCAAGAAGAGGCTTCTCATGAACAAAGCATTATATACAGCTTTAAGCCAAATTGAGGTAAATCAAAGTTTGTATAAACCAGAATACAGTTATGAATGCACATGGCTTATTAATAAAAATTAGAGAAAAAAAGAACAACAAATTCTTGATATTTTGCTCAATGAAATGATGAAAATGCAAAAGCGTGTTTATAAGATGGTGACCGCAACTGTGCCGTTAACAATTGTAAAAAGGCAATAACGAGTTACGATCACCGCCTTTTATCACAACAAAAATGGTTAAATCACATAAATATTAAGGTTAGTGTGTGCTCTGTTGCTTGCTTATTAATACAGTGCATACCATGTGACATAAAAAAAAACAAAAAAACTTTCTAATGAGTCTATTCGGTTATTACAAGTTCTACCTGAGTTTGATTCCTGTCCTTGCCACCCCAATATCTCCTTGTCAACTCTAGATGTTGCACCTTGACTGAAGCTACACAGTCTTAGTCATGGTGTAAGTCCTGTGCATGATTAGCTGTGAATAGTTATGTAGCTAATACAATGTTGGTTTTCAAGTTATGTACAGTAATACTACTATTTGGCTACTATTCTAAGTAGATCTCTATCTAAACGTTTTAATCAGCATTGACTTAGGTGTTTTTTTTCAAAACAGTACCTGTTTATTAGTTTTAATATTCTCAACAATTTCATTTACTATGAAAGGACTGTTTTTTTAGAATGGTCATGTTTTCACATGACACAAGTGGAGAGTACTCCCTCTTCTCACTTTTTAGTCCCCGTTCGGACGAAGTACGAAAACGGGGACTTATAATTCGGTCTGCGTCTGTGCGTTCGTCCGGAGTCATATCTCAGAATCCCTTGGACTGATTTCGTTCATTCTTTGCATGTGCCTAGTACTTTATATGGGACATATGTACATGAATTGTTTAGCGATTCAATTCAAAATGGCCGACTGGCAGCCATCTTGTTTTTTTAAAATGTTGTAATTTGGACATGCTTTGTCAGTTTTCATTCAAACTTGGTACATAGATTATACATGTTAGGATACATGTACATGACGATTTATTTCACAATTGGATTAAAGATGTCCGACTGGCAGCCATCTTGTTTTTTGAAAATGTTGTATTTTGGACATGCTTTGTCAGTTTTCATTCAGATTTAGTACATAGATCATACATGTTAGGATACATGTTCCCGACCGTACATGAGTTCCTGAGTCTGTTCGTCTGTCGGTTCGTCCGTGTGTCAGTCTGTACAGAGTTATATTTCAGAATCCTGTGGACCGATTCCGTTCAATCTTTGCATGTGCCTAGTACCTTATGTGGGACATATGCACATGCAGTGGTTTAGTGATTCAATTCAAAATGGCCGACTGGCAGCCATCTTGTTTTGTTGTATTTTGGACATGCTTTGTCAGTTGTCATTCAAACTTGGTACATAGATTATACAAGTTAGGATACATGTCCATGACGATTTATTTTGCAATTGGATCAAAGATGGTCGACTGGCAGGCATCTTGTTTTTTGCGGTATCTTGGATGTGCTCTGTCAGTTTTCATTCAAATTTGGCACATACATGTACTTTATACATGTTAGGATGCATGTCCATGACAATTTGTTTCAAAATCCGGTCAAGGATGGCCGATTGACAGCCATCTGACTTTTTGGCCTTACTACTATATTTCCACAATTTATGTACCATTTTCATTTGTATTTGGCACATACATCATACATATCAGTGTGTTTCATAATCAGATCAAAGATGGCTGAATAATGGCTGTTTTTATTTTTGGCCATATTACTACTACACAGAACACATGTTTTGATGTAAATAAACTTGGAACTTGGAACTCAACCCCTCCGCTTTAATATGACGAGCACAAAGAGAATTTTCAAAAATTTATTAAAAATGTAACACTTTTTGAGCAGCAACACCCATGATTTGAACCAAGAATTTCCAGATTGATGAGCATTGTAAATGCTTGGTCACTCTACTGAATGAACAAAGCAGGTGATTTGTGGTTGAATGTAACAGTAATAGTTCACTAAGATACGTACATGAATCAGATGTGATTTCTACATTGGCCCATATTGTCCTTCTGTACAAAAAGAGTTTCATAATACATGTACCCTGTGTCAACACACAACCTGCAATGGGGCCAGTAAACCTCAACCCTCAACCCCAAAACAGGCTGTTAGCATCCTTGTAGCTGTAGTTATTAAACTCTGCATATCAACTGTATCGATTACACTCTGTATATGAATTGAACCATACTGATTTGCATAGAGACAGAGACAGGTTTAGATTTACAGAAATACTGTAAAATACTTTATTTTAGCTGCAATTAATTTTCGTTAAAAAGACATTTTGGGTGTTTTGTATGAAATTCATTATCACTGATTTTTGACGAGTTGAATGTAAAATATAGGACAAAAGGTATATTCGCTGGATTTTAATTTCACTGAATCATTCATTCAGTGGAAATAGCAAAAATTAATTCCAAGCAAAAATATAGTATTCTACAGTAAACGTATGGCCAGAACAATGGGGCACATAACCAAGAGTGATATATGGTAACATCAAATAAAATAAAATAAAAAACTGGGTACACGGCAGCCAATTTGAATTAAAAAACATTGTTACTACTTCTGATCATATTTTTCTTCAGATTTCAGCCAAACTATGTGATATGCATTTTCAATCTGTTCTGTATTTATGTCACACTGTGGAGATATGCATGTTATTCATGTGTTAAATGTAAACATGTCTCAAGTTTACTGTAAACAATAGTGTGCGTATATTCTTGTATAAACAAAATATTGTTACTTTGCAGGAAAATTTTGTGTTTGCTGCACCCAGTAAGAAACTGGTGTGCGAAGCTGAAGGTGTGAAATGTTATCATAAATACTGCTTTCACGTTCCTGTTACAACTAGCACAGTCGTGTTACACAGAAACAAAATTATTTTGGTATGTCAGTTTCTTTAATTTATGCATTCAAGAAAGA